TGCTCCTGCGCCCCGGGAGCGGTGGGCGGCGGGGGGGCGGGGGTGGAGCAGAGGGAACGGAGGTATAAAAAAGCGTGGGTCCTCAGGGAACTTTCTGAGTGAGATTTGGGTAGGGGCGAGGAAGGGCCTGGGAGTGCTCAGGAATTTGGACCGGAGCCCGAAGCCCGTGGGAGCATTTGAAGGGTTTGAGTAGGAGAAGGACGTGAATTTTGTCGTTTCATTATTTTTCAAAAAGTTGTAGAAAAAAAATTGAAAATGCATGTAAAGAAAGAAGGTAAAAATCACCACCCTGTTCTTGTGCAGATATGTGTATATTGAAATCACATTTTTTAGAAACTATTTTTGATGCAGTAGTAAATCTATATCACTAAACCTATTTCTGTGTATTCATCTTTACGAGCTGCGTAATAGTTTTAGTTTATCTCATGGGAGGGCCGCAGTTCCCTCAACCAAGTACTTATTTATGGGCCCTTATATTGTATCTTATTTTTAATCCCTGAGGTCAAAGGTCTGGGAGCTCATTTCCTGAGCAGTTATCCTTTTGTTCTTTCCTGCACTATTTTCCTTCCTAGGCGTCTTTGCCAAATGATATGTGCAAAATGGTATTGCTTTGTTCTCACATGTCTTTGTTTACTAGAGGTTGAATAATTTATCCTGTGTAGGGGCTGTGTGTAACCTTAGTCCTTGCCCAAGATGTCACCCTTCTAGTCATTTGAATCCTGCTGTCAACATCTTCATACTGATCCAGATGCCCAACCCAACTTCTGTTGCCCTCTTTCCACACTTGGGACATCTGGAACAATCCTCTCCTAACATGGAAAATCAGCTCCCCTACAGCCGTGGCTTCCTCAGCTGTTCACATATCTATCTCCACCCCAGTGCCTCTAGTACTCTTGATTGGCTTACAATTGGATGGTGTCTCAGTTCCATCACTCCTGGCATGCAGAAATTTTCACCTTTACCATCACTTAGCCCTCTCTCTCTCAGCCCCCTTCTCTCTACACTTTTTCCCACTCACTTCATAACTTTAGCCACTTCCCTTGCCTAATTGTCCTGTCCCGGCCTTCTATCAAAATCCCAGCTCTGGAAGAATGAGCTGGCTGCCCTCCCCATGACTACACCTGGTCTTCTGCTGGAGGAAATCACAGACCTACCCAGACTTAGTGACAAGACAAGTTATCGTGGGCTCTTTGCATCTATATTCATCAGTTGAGATTGGTTTGTGATTTTTACTTTGTGTAATTTCCCCAGTTTACCACATCAGTTATGGTTGTTTTTAGTAAAATGGAGGTTTATGCTTCTCTCTGTTTTTGAATAGTTTTAATAGCATGAGAATTATTCTTTGGTTTGACAGAGCTGGCTCATAAAACCATATCGACTAGGGCCTCACATGGGGTAGATTTCACCACTTTATTGCTTCTATGGGTATTGGCAGGAATGCTTTTTAAAAGTTTACCAACTATTATGCCAGGGACATGACTAATCACAACAGAAACCTGAGCAAATGCAGTGATGCCAACCAGAATGCCATACTGATGCTCATCAGCTGGAAAACAGTGCTGCTTATTATTCTGTCTGGGCTTTTTTACTTTTGAATTCAGTTTTGGTAATTTATATATTTTTATAAAATCATCCATTTAGTAAAGATTTTTAAATTTACTACATAGTCTTAGAGTTTTGTAAAATATTTTTTTATAAAACTTATTTTTCAAATTGGAAATATACAGGGTGTCCCAAAAAAATGTATACATACTTTAACAGCTGATAGCTCAATTTTGAAAATGAAATGCATTTTAATAAACACTGCCCTTATAATTATTCAAAATGTGTGTATACATTTTTGGGAGACACCCTATATTTGTATAATTTGTGCCCTTTGCATTCAGGTTCACTTCTCTCTCAAGTGTCTTGGAAATATGAATTTCATATGTTTTGGGGATAAGTGGTTTTGTAGAGGAACAGCTCTGCTTCTTTTCACTTTGTTTTGATTACTAAATATTTTTTGCATTTGGTCCTCAAGAAAAAGATACATATTTATCTAATATTGAGATTTTAGATTTTCAGAGATAATATTCATGTCTTTTTGTCC